CAGTCTTTTGAGAAAGCTGCCCTTCTGCTCCCTCCCAGATCAAAGTCCACCAGTTCAGACTTTTTACTCTGCTTCCCTTCCCTGCTTACCTTTCACCCCCCCTTTACCCTAGTGCAGTAATTTTCAACCGGTGTGCCGCAAGAATTTTTAAAACATGTAACATTTGACTATTTAGTCAGGAGCATCAACCTCTTTCCTTTAGATTGTCAAATAAAAAATGACATCAGCCAACATAACAATAGCCACCCAGTGTAAATGAATCAAAATTATACCTATTTTTTTTTTGTCAGATCAGTACAAATTATATTTTTTGGTGTGCCACAAAATTTTAGTAATTAGTTTACGTGTGCCATGAGACGAAAAAGGCTGAAAACTGCTGCCCTAGTGAGCCTATTGATTTCACAGGTGACATCCTTCAACAATTCCACATTGCCTGAAGGATAAAACTGGAATTCCTTAACATGGATGAATAAAGCACCTAGCTGCTGAGAAACAACCCCAACCAGGGCCGGGGACAAGCTGCAACCGAGGTACGTGCCCTTAGCGGGAACCAAACCGGACTCTCTGGTCCGTAGGCCGACGCTCTAACCGCTGAGCCAAACCGGCCAGGGCTCGTCCTTGTGCTTTAAAAGAAGGTGATAACTAACTTCCTAAGGACCTGATACCATATCTTAGATAGCCCTGAAGACAACTTTACAAACTGCTATTATTATCCCCACTTTACAGATGAGAGAACTAAGATACAGAGAGATCAAGTAACTTGCCCAGTGTCACACAGCACACCAATGGTGATGTTCATATTTGAAGCCAAGTAGGATGATCTCAGAGCCTGCAGTCAACAGCCGTGTTTCTTATCAGGTAAAGTGGGTACCTCAGAGCATTCTGACGCACAGAACACACAAAAGGATGAGTGGCCCAAGACCTAGGAACAGTGCAGGGGTCTGAGGACCTGGTACTGGCATCAGTCCAAAATTAATTATTGAACAACAGTCACCTTCACCCCAAAATTGTTTCATTGTCTGGCTGCTAAGTTTAGATCAGGGGAAGGTGTTGCTCTGTGGTTTAGTGTCCAAGTTTGCAAGCCATTATGCCAGTATTGACAACTAAATAACAGTGGGGTCACTTTCTAAAAAATACAAAGTATTTGGAGTGTAGAAAAAAGCTTGGTTACATTTCTAGAGAGCAAATCCCAGAAAAAAAACCGCGATTTATGAATTCTAAGAGATTTCTGCAGTCTGCTTTCCTTACAGAATGAATTGGATGGCCCAGAAGATATGCTTCTGTCCTCTGCTTGGCCTAGCACTTCCTGCAAACTTCTCTGGACGGTTCAAACGATGGAGTGAGCCTGTGGAAGAAAAACCGATGGGCCCAGAACATTTTTTAAGTTAAAAGGTTAAAAATTAACCCCTCTCCCCATCCATCTTTAAGAATTACACTTTCCAGCAAAGTCTAGCTCCCTTTCCTGACAGATATAATCCTAATTAAAAATAAATTACATGCTGTATAGAACTTGAAATGGGAAAGATAATCCTATTACATATGAGAATATATCCAGATTTTCTTGCCCGCTAAACTGTGGGAGATAGCAGATCAGGCTGAGCCCGCCCATTGTCACCTCTTTGAAAACTCTCCCAGAGCCCTAATCCGTCACGTGACGCCCGTGTCAATCTCGGGGTCTGCACGCGAGTTTCACAATGTGGGCATTAGGCTCGGTAACAGAAACCCCGCTTTGCGGAGCCCGCAACATTTGCATTCCGAGAAAATGCCGGCCATTGTGGGGCTGTGTTTGTTCTTGGGATTTCGAGACAGTGGCGGGCGAAGCTGCTAACACCGAGAGAAAAGAGCTCCTTTGAGCCGGCCTAGGCCTTTGGTATGATAACAAGTCGATGTGAGCGGCTTTTGTGCGGCCGGATCAGCTCCCGGGGAGGGCGAGCTCCCCTCCCTGCCCCCTACTCCTCTGACCCTACCTCTCCGGACTTTTAGCTTCCCCTGGGAGCTGCTGTCGGCGCCGATGCGCTATTTTTAAATCATATTTCCATAATCTGAAGGCTGCAGGCGGCAGGGGCCGCAGCTCACTCAGCTCGCGTGCCTTCACACCTCTGCAGCCGGCTGGGAAAGGCCTCCGCAGCCTCCCTCGCGCTCCGCTCCTCGGCGGCCGGCTCCGCTCTCTCCTCCGGATCCCCGCCCAGGGCTCCGCGCCCCGCGCCCCGCGCCCCGCGCTGCCGGGCGCCGCCACTGTCGCGGCCACTTCCGAACCGCCGAGGCGCTGGCCGAGGAGAAAAGGCTTTGAACCTGCTGCCAGCCGCCCCACCCCCTCCTCCCGCCTCTCGACTTTTGCCTGCCTTCCCCTCCCCTCCAGCCCTCCCCTCCCTCAAAATACACCTAGTTTATTTCGGTCTTGAGAATGTGAATGATGACATGGAAGTGTTTTGAGTAACAATACTAGGTAGTTCAGATTCTCCCGCCAGGCAAATAATTAAATAATATAAACAGCTCGTGGCTGGGCTCTCGCGGTCCCGCCCAGAACGGAGGCACCGGGGAGCAGATATGGGGTCCGGCTCGCAGTCACCTGCGGCCAGGCTCTGGGCAAGTGTCTTGTCATAAGAACAGCATAAGATACTTATTCCGGGTACCCTGGCCCCACTGCGCTCGGCTCAGCAGCGGCCACGGGGCGCGAGCCTAATTCTCGGGGTTACGAGAGTAGCAGCAGGGAGGCCGCTGTCCGACTGCCCAGTTCTGAATCTGTTCGGGTCTGGGCGGGTGAGGAGGGAGGGCGGGACTCTGGGGGCGCCGAAGGTCATCGGCAGGCCCCAAGCCAGGTGGAAAAGTTGCGGGGCTCAGAAAAAAGACTGAACGTTGTTTCGGCTGCGCAGAACCCCCGAGAAATGTCTCTCAGGCGGGAGCAGAGAGAGTAAGCTATTAAATGGCAATCGGAAGAGGAAAATAGTGAGAGAGATGGCTGACAATTGGGCTCCTGTAGGGGGCGTCTCTCTTTCCCGGTTCCTGCGTGGCTGCAGTTGCCTGGCCTCTATGCTTTTAGTATTTCCAAGGCTGCAAGGTGGAAAAGGGAACCGAGAGGAAACCCCCAACTGTCTACCCCCCACCCAATCTCATAACAGCTTTTATTTATGGATGGCTAGGACTGCATTGTTTGCTCCCAGGCAAATCCAAGCACCTCCTTCATCCTCCGCCACCCCCACTGCCCACCCAGCTCTCCGATAGGTATCCCTACTCTGAAGAGACTCCTGCATCTTTTCCGAGGGGGAAAAAATACAGGACACATTCCTTCGGGTTTAAGGGATAGGATGCTAAGAGCGGGACTAAAATCAGGACTCAGAAGAATGTTTACTGAATGAAATTTGCTTATCAAATAAAACGCCTTTTTCTTTTTCTTTTTTTCTATAGGAGAAATGCTGGGAGAAAGAAAGGGGACACGAAGGGTTGGGAGGAGAGAGGTGGAGGGAGAGGCGGTGAGGAGGAGGAAGAAGAGGAAGAGGAGGTGGCAGAGGTGTGGAAGAGGAGGAGCAAACGCCTTTTTATTTAAAAATAATAATAATAATCTTCCAGTGTGTAACTTCTGTTGTTACCTTTCCTCTTTCTAATCTCTTTCCATAGCCTGCTCAATAATAAAGCTCTTCAACAAGAATCAGTAAGAATTCCTCTTGTTCTTGGAGGAATTCTTGCTTGGAGCCCTATCTCCCTGGTCTTCAGGGATACTGGAGGGGGAATACCTGTGGGGGCAGGGCCATGCCTGACCATCCCTGGAACCCACCCAGCCCAGAGTTTGGCAGTGTGGAAGCTCAACACTTTTTTAGGCAGATGGCTAAGTTCCCCCAGGTTCGTGCCAGGTTTCAACATCATGCTGTGATTTTGTTCTTCTGGAACTGGATGAGTGTTGCTTCCCAGAGCGGCCCTATTAGAACAGAAAGAAAATCCTCTAAATAGGCGGAACAAGGCATCAGGAGGGAAAGTTCTCTAAATGCACTTTAATACGAGCCGGGTATTGTGTGGAATTCAGCGCCCATCACCGTTTAGCCAGAGAGTTATGGCAGTGATTGGGGATGAATGGAGGAACATAATGGATACATGTGGCGTTTGCTCATTATATTCAAGTTAGCCCAACTCCACTGTGGAAACTGTTCAACTTTCTCTCCCCTTAGCTTGTCACAGTGAAATAATACAGACATTGGGGCCTCCAGTGGGATCGCCTGCCACGCCATTCTATTTCCACTGCTAACGAGGGCTTCATAAGCCTTTGATACAGTCTGATCTTTGAAACCTTTCCAAATCTCCTCAAGCTTATGCTAAATCCTATTTGGAACTTTTTTTCCTTGCCTGCTAGCGCCCAGGACTTAAGAAAGCCATTTGGACAGTGACATGCATACTAACACATCGCAGGGCTCTTTTCTGAAAGAGAAGTGGCAATTCTGATCACCTTGGCTCACACGAGCAAAACACAATTGCGTATACAAATTTGAATAAAATCAATTTTCCCTTCTCCTTTGGGCTCCTTAATCGAGAGGCTATTCAGGGCGCCGTGGGAAGCTGGGAGAGAAGGCGAGCAGCGCCTCACTGAACAGAGCAAGTCTGTGGAGAAGGGTCCGCGAGCACTTGGAAGTCTCCGAGATGCAAAAGACAGGGAGTAGGTGGGGGTCCCGAACTACACGGGCGAAATCCCATCCTGTTTGCTCTTAGATCGCGCAGCCGGCACCGGAGGTTCCGGCTCTCGAGGGGCACAATAGATAAAACCTGTGCCAACTCCTCTACACGCAGAAAGGGGAAAGAAAAGGGAGTTAAAGAAACAAAGGAAAGATTCCCTAATTTTCCTTTCTTGTTTTCCCCTCTAAGCCTTTCCACATTAAAGGGATTGTCAGAGGCTGGCGTAGGAGCGGTGCGAGGACGAGGTCGCCATTGGCTGCCTGGCTCTGGTGATTTGCATATCGGCTGCGATAAAAGCGGAGGCGGCGCGCGGCGGCGCAGCAGATGCGAGGAAGAGGGAGGGAGAGGTGTAGAGTGAGGGTAGGTCCGCCTCGCGTCCTCAGAGCCCGCTGGAGCCTTGGAGCTGCAGCTTGCAGACTTCTCCCCCACCGGGCTGGCAAAAAGCGTGCTCCGAGGAGCGTGGGACTCCCGTCCGGACCTGCAAACCTGAGAGGAATCTTTTCTTCAGCCTTTTGGAATAACACTTGGAGCTAGCGGCATGAGTCCTGTAAGGCGGGTGGGTAGCCCCTGCCTTTTACCTTTGCAACTCTTCAGCCTCTGCTGGGTACTCTCAGTGGCCCAGAGCAAGACAGTGCGATACAGCACCTTCGAGGAGGACGCCCCTGGCACGGTCATCGGTACCTTGGCTGAGGACCTGCATATGAAAGTGTCCGGAGATACAAGCTTCCGCCTGATGAAGCAGTTCAACAGCTCGCTGCTGCGTGTGCGCGAGGGTGACGGGCAGCTGACCGTCGGGGACGCGGGCCTGGACCGCGAGCGGCTGTGCGGCCAGGCCCCACAGTGCTTGCTGGCCTTCGACGTTGTCAGCTTCTCGCAGGAGCAGTTCCGGTTGGTGCACGTGGAGGTGGAGGTGAGGGACGTCAACGACCACGCACCACGCTTCCCACGGGCCCAGATCCCCGTGGAGGTGTCCGAGGGCGCAGCCGTGGGCACACGCATCCCCCTGGAGGTGCCGGTGGACGAGGACGTGGGCGCCAACGGGCTGCAGAGCGTGCGCCTCGCGGAGCCACATAGCCCCTTCCGCGTGGAACTGCAGACTAGAGCGGACGGCGCCCAGTGTGCTGACCTGGTGCTGCTGCAGGAGCTGGACCGCGAAAGCCAGGCCACCTACAGCCTGGAGCTGGTGGCCCAGGACGGCGGCCGCCCGCCTCGCTCTGCTACGGCCTCCCTCAGCGTGCGCGTGCTGGACGCCAATGACCACAGCCCGGCTTTCCCGCAGGGTGCCGTGGCCGAGGTGGAGCTGGCAGAGGACGCTCCAGTGGGCTCGCTGCTGCTCGACCTGGACGCCGCTGACCCCGACGAGGGCCCCAATGGTGAAGTGGTGTTCTCCTTCGGCGCCCGCACCCCGCCCGAGGCGCGCAGGCTTTTCCGCCTCGACCCGCGCTCGGGACGCCTCACCCTCGCGGGACCCGTGGACTACGAACGCCAGGACACCTACGAACTAGACGTGCGGGCGCAGGACCGTGGCCCCGGGCCTCGATCCGCCACCTGCAAGGTCATCGTGCGCATCCGCGACGTCAATGACAACGCGCCAGACATCGCTATCACCCCGCTGTCTGCCCCGGGCGCGCCTGCCGCCTCGCCCTTCGCCGCCGCCGCTGCCGCCGCCGCCGTTCTCGAGGGGGCGGACACGACCTCATCTACCGGGCCCGGGATGCCAGAGGGTAGTGCTATCTCGCTGGTGCCAGAGGGGGCGGCGCGTGAGAGCCTGGTGGCTCTGGTCAGCACCTCGGACAGGGACTCAGGCGCCAATGGGCAGGTGCGCTGCGCCCTCTACGGGCACGAGCACTTTCGGCTACAGCCGGCCTACGCGGGCAGCTACCTGGTAGTGACCGCCGCATCCTTAGACCGCGAGCGAATTGCCGAGTACAACCTGACGCTGGTGGCGGAGGACCGCGGTGCGCCCCCGCTACGCACCGTACGGCCCTACACAGTGCGCGTGGGTGATGAGAATGACAATGCTCCACTCTTCACGCAGCGGGTCTACGAGGTGTCAGTGCGCGAGAACAACCCGCCTGGCGCCTACTTAGCCACCGTGGCTGCCCGGGACCCAGACCTGGGCCGTAACGGCCAGGTTACCTACCGGCTCCTGGAGGCTGAGGTGGGCCGCGCTGGGGGCGCCGTGTCCACCTACGTCTCAGTGGACCCGGCTACCGGGGCTATCTACGCGCTGCGCAGCTTCGACTATGAGACGCTGCGCCAGCTCGACGTGCGCATCCAGGCGAGCGACGGCGGCATCCCTCAGCTCTCCAGCAGCGCCCTGGTGCAAGTGCGGGTGCTGGACCAGAACGACCACGCACCGGTTCTGGTACACCCGGCACCCGCCAACGGCTCTCTGGAAGTGGCAGTCCCCGGGCGCACTGCAAGGGACACTGCTGTGGCGCGCGTGCAGGCCCGGGACGCGGACGAAGGAGCTAACGGGGAGCTGGCATTCGACCTCCTGCAGCAGGAGCCGCGAGAAGCCTTCGCCATCGGCCGCCGCACGGGGGAGATCGTACTCACCGGCGATCTCTCGCAGGAGCCGCCGGGCCGTGTGTTCCGGGCGCTACTGGTCATATCTGACGGCGGGCGTCCCCCGCTCTCTACTACTGCCACAGTTAGCTTCGTGGTAACAGCAGGCGGCGGGCGTGGGCTGGTGGCTCCCGCCAGTGCCGGGAGCCCAGAGCGCTCTCGCCCACCCGGCTCGCGGCTCACGGCGTCGGGGCCAGCGCTACAATGGGATACGCCGCTGATCGTCATCATCGTGCTGGCCGGGAGCTGCACGCTGCTGCTGGCCGCTATCATCGCCATCGCCACTACCTGCAATCGCCGCAAGAAGGAGGTGCGCAAAGGGGGGCCCCGCCGGGAAGAGCGGCCCGGGGCGGCGGGCGGCGGCGCCTCGGCTCCTGGCTCCCCGGAGGAGGCCGCCCGGGGAGCCGGGCCCAGGCCCAACATGTTCGACGTGCTCACCTTCCCTGGCAGCGGCAAAGCGCCATTTGGCAGCCCCGCGGCCGACGCGCCCCCGCCCGCGGTCGCGGCGGCCGAAGTGCCGGGCTCGGAGGGCGGCAGCGCCACGGGGGAAAGCTCCTGTCACTTCGAGGGGCAGCAGCGGCTCCGCGGCGCGCACGCCGAGGTGAGGCCTTCCTTCGGCTGGGCGCCCCTCTTCGTGCTCCGCGAACAGACTGGGGGAAGAGACTGGAGGGGTCTGGGTGGGTGTGCACGATAAATGCCTAACCTGTGGCACATTTTTTGTTTGTTTTGTTTCTTGTCCAACCCTCACCCCCGCTTCCCCCATTCCCTGCTGCAGCCCTACCGTGCCTCCCCTGGCTTCGGAAAGGAGCCGGCGCCCCCTGTGGCGGTCTGGAAAGGACACTCTTTCAACACCATCTCTGGCCGAGAAGCAGAAAAGTTCAGTGGCAAAGATAGCGGCAAAGGGGACAGTGATTTCAACGACAGCGATTCTGACATCAGCGGGGACGCTCTGAAAAAGGATCTAATCAACCACATGCAGAGTGGTGAGGACTCTTCTTTCCTGCCAAGTTCAGCATTCCTCCTCTTTCTCCCCTTTTGCCATTTCTTCCCGCCTCTCAATCTCTGTTCCCAGCCCCACTCCCTCTTCCACGCTTTTTCCAGCCCTGGAGTTTCGAATCCCCCGCAGGCCTCATACAGTCAATTTTAAAATGCACGGCTGAGGCTGCTCCACCACTTGAATTTAGCACAGCCCCATCCTGCTGGGCAGAGGCAGGAGTGATGCTCGCTATCTGCTTGCAGGAAGCTGAACCAACTTGGTTGTTAGGTGGCTTTGCAGGAAGCAATGTCCCTTTCAAATCTTGAATCAGTGGCATTCATCTTCATACAGGTTTTCTTTTCAGCCACCCTAACCCTGTCATTATAAAGACGGAGGCATGCCTATCGCAGTAATAATCATGCTCTCTCCCTTTCTCTTTTGTGTTAGGACTGTGGGCATGCACGGCTGAGTGCAAGATCCTGGGCCATTCTGACCGCTGCTGGAGCCCATCATGTGGAGGGCCCAACACACATCCTTCAGCTCACCCACCAGCCCAGATGTCAACCTTCTGTAAGAGTACGTCGCTACCTAGGGATCCTCTGCGCAGAGACAATTACTACCAGGCCCAGCTGCCCAAGACAGTGGGGCTGCAGAGCGTCTACGAGAAAGTGCTGCACAGAGACTATGACAGGACGGTCACTCTGCTTTCCCCTCCTCGTCCTGGGAGGCTCCCAGACTTGCAGGAGATTGGGGTGCCCCTCTACCCATCCCCCCCTGGCAGGTACCTTTCCCCAAAGAAGGAAGCCAATGAAAATGTGTAACCCCATGCTGCATGATGTCTTCACACATATACAGGTCACTCTGAGAAATCCCTAAGTTATTGACCAGTTTCAGTGTTGTATATATAAATATGCAAGATGTGCCTTAAAATGAAGTTGTTGGAAGCTATTTCCAATCACATTGGTACTGTTTGGTATTTGCAAACAAAAATGTAGTTAATGTAATTTTTATGAAATGTGTCGTATTTAATTTTTCTTATGCTATTGACTTTAATTTCACTTGCAGCTTGCCATTTTCTTAGTGTTTTTAACCTGTACATTGTGTAATGTAATGTTTGTATATAATGAAATTTTGTTATATTTTTATATAATAAAAGCTAAAGTGGAAGTTATTGCCAAAGGAAATGTCTATAAGACAAAAAGCAAAACATGTTGGAATTACTTATTGGAAATTTATCTTTTACCTGAAACAACCTAGTGTTTGAGAAGTTTTGCCTTGCCAAGTATAACTTGTATATCTTGAGTCTGTGGTAGATTTCAAGTTCAATGTTATTTAATTACATTTGGTTTTCTGTAAACCGTGTCACTTATAAGCACAGTAATAAAGGATTTGTCATGTGTTTGAAGAATCTAATTGCTTTTCATAAAGTTGCCTACAGTCAGACATCCACGAATAATTTGAGTACAAGCATTAAACCTTCGATGGACTAATTATTTGGGCATTATTAATGTTCACAGCAATATTAAACCTGTGGGATTCAAATATTGAAGGGCCTTGTCCAAGTATTAAAAACATTTGTTGCCCTGGCCAGTTTTCTCAGTGGTTAGAGCATCGGCCTGCAGACTAGAGAGGCCCCGGTTTAGTTCCCGCTAAGGGCACATACCTCAGTTGTAATTTGTCCCCAGCCTCGGTTGGGGTGGTATGGGTGGCAACCACTCCATGTGTCTCTCTCACATCGCTGTTTCTATCTCTCTCCCTCCTGCTCTATCTGAAGATAAATGCAAAAAAAAAAAAGGAAAAGAAAAAATCTCAGATGAGGATAAAAAAAAAGTAAAAATATTTGTTGATTTTTTTAAACATGTGCATCTCCATAAATGTTAGGGACTCTAAAATTTCTGCCCTTGCTTATTCACTCAACAATTATTTATGAAGCATCTACCATCAAGTCAAGGAAAGCTTTCTGGGCTGTTCATTCACTAATTAAACATCAGTAGAGCTTTTACTAACCATAGTAATTCTTAGGAGTGGGGCTCGAGGTTAGGAAGAAGTCCCACGGCATTCTTAGCATATTAGGGGTGTTAATATAAAAAAGACACACAAATTTATGGCTGAAATGACATGATGCTTAGAATTTGCTTTAAAATTTGCTATATGAAATAAGGTTGATAAAATATTGATCACTGTCAATGTTAGCATGGGTATGTGGGTGGGCGGCAGTAATTATACCAATCTATTTGTGTGTTTGTGTTTAAAAATGTACAAAATGGAAGGTTTTCAAGATCTATGTCTTATACTCTATGCATTCATTTAATTTAAAATTGAAATGATAATAGAGCTAACATTTACTGAACAAGCTTTTATATGAGCGAAACTCCTTGCAAAGCACTCTGCATGGATGGTCTCCTTTACTCTTCAGTCTATCCCCATGAGATGGAAACCATCATTTTCTCCATGTCACAGATAAGAAAGAAAAAAAAAAAAACTGGGACACAGAGAAGTTAGGTAAAATGCCCCAAGTCACAGAGCTAATGAGTGGCCAGGATTGAATTCAAACCCAATTATTCAAGACAAGAAAATAAAATGAAGCAACAAAAGTTTTTGCTTTGGCCCTGGCCAATATGGCACAGTTGGTTGGATGTCATGCTGTGCACCAAAAGGTTGCTGGTTTGGTTCCTGGTCAGAACACATGCGTGGGTTGTGGGCTAGATGCCTGATGGGGTGTGTGCAAGAGGCAGTGAATCATGTTTTGCTCTTACATCTATGTTTCACTCTCTCTCTCCCTCTCCCGTCCTCTTGCTCTAATAAATCGAATTTAAAAAAAATAAAAGCTTTTTGTTTTGTTTTTTAACTTGAAAGAAACAAAGTGCTAGGTGGAAAAGTCCTGATGCATTGTCTTTACTGCCTGATTCTTGTGTAGCTCTTTATATTTATAAAATGCCTGTGTTCCTTTATTACTAATTATAGAGTGTGCGGCACTGTAATGAACAGAGGAGCCCTCAAAGCTGCCTGTTGAAGTCACAATGGAAACCAGTGGTGGCTCCAAGCTGAACAGCAGGGTGGGCATACACAAGTGCTTTGCCACCCACGGCAAAGATCGGTGGTTTCCACAGGCAACTGAGCTGAACCTGTGCTGACAAGCTCAGACTGCCCAGACTTCAGGCTCTGAAAGGAAACATTGGATGTGGCTGGGTTATCAGCTCCAGGACGGTGCTGACCAGGCCCCAGGGGAGCAGACTTCCCATTCTAACATCTAAAGCTTTATTCTTGGGCAGTCCTACCAATCGCAGAGCAGAAGAATCAAGAGTCCCACCCTGCCATCTAAAAGTGTCCAATCTCTGAAGTTGTTTGCCTGCTTTTGTCCTTCTAAAGTAAAATAATGTCATTGTCATTATTTTATGTTATACTGTGCAAACTATTTCATTATTCCAAAAATTTAGTTTTCAAAACCTCTATGACTGTCTGGCCAATGTGGCTCAGTGGTGGAGCGTTGACCCATGCACCAAGAGGCTGCCAGTTCGATTCCTGGTCAGGGCACATGCCCAAGTTGTGGGCCAAATCCCCAATGGGTGGCAGGCAGAAGGCAGCCAATTGGTGTTCTTATCAATGTTTCTATCTCTCTCTCTCCCTCTACCTTTCTCTCTCTCTAAAATCAATAAAGAAAAAAAAGACCTCTATGACTTCACTGTCATCTTTTTCCTTTCGAAAAGTGACCCTGAAAAGACCTTATTTTCGGAATACTATGCAACTATAATGAAGAAAGATCTCTTATCCTTTGAGACAACATGGAGGGAACTGGAGAGTATTATGCTAAGTGAAATAAGCCAATCAGAGAAAGACAAATATCACATGATCTCACTTATTTGTGGACTATAATGAACAAAATAGACCAAGAGACATAGAAGTAGGGTACAGACTGACAAACCTCAGAAGAGGGGGATAGGGAGGAGAGAGAAGAGATAAACCAAAGAACTTATATGCATGTATGCATAACCAATGGGAATAGACAACAATGTTGGGGGGGGGGGCGAGATTGGGAAGAGGGTATCAATGGGGGGAAAAGGAGAAACATCTATAACAAAAATAAATTAATAAATAAAAAATAAAAAGACCTTATTTTTGCTGGGAATTTATAAAATATTGATCACACAATTCAGTCCTTAAAATTATTTTTTAAAAATAATAAAAGGGGTGGGTAAGGCTCTTTTCTTCTAGGGGTCAGCCGCAGAAACCCTCAGAGAAGTAGGGGCAATATAAAAAGGCTCTCTGCTTTTCTCCAAAAATGTTTATTCTCAAGCACATTTTTAGAAAGCGTATTGCTGTATTAAATTAAGTGAGATAATATATATGCAGACTACTTAGAACAATGCCTGGCCTATAGTAGTGCCACTACCTTCTAGCTTCCTCTTTCCTTGCCTTCCTTGGAGCCAATCTTTACCAGAACTGTCAATGCAGCCCCGCCCACTAAGGGGGATGAAACAGACTCAGGAAGTCTGGCCTTGTCCTGACATTCGTTTGTTCTCTTCACTTCTTCCACTTTCACTCTACAAACAAGCATGGCTAACGCGAACATTGCAGGCACACTCACCAGCCTTATGCTATTGTGATGTTACCACAACTACCTCTTTGGAGATAGAGACTGACAACCCTTGGGCACCTTGGCTGTGAGCACTGGGACATGGGCAGGTCCTGGGGGAAATGGGAGATCACCTTGAAAGAGAAAGCTAAAGCCAGACTTTACCTATTTCACATTATTATGTCTGGCACTATTGACTTGGATGTCCTATGCTTCCTATAATAAAATACCCATCAAAGAAACCACTTCAAAAAAATAAAATGTAAGTGGTTTTAACATCTATTGAAAAATGCATTCTAAAATAGAGCAAAAACAGGATGCATGTCTCCAAATACAAATATATATGCACATGGAGATTAAAAAAAAGAAACACACATATATGAAATATATGTAAAATAAGGATGAGTTTCATGGCATAATTAGCTGGCTTCTCTCACTTGGACAATATAAGCTTTTATCGTCTAAAAATTCCATTTTAGTAAACAAGCATATTTGCTTTAGTACTGAGTTCAGTAACAATAGGATAATTAGAATGCTGCAAGTTTTGAAAGCAAACTGAAGCAAAGTAATACAATACTCAGCGGAGCACTGTGCTTTGCAACAACTCAGAAGGGCTTTGAAAATGCTGTTTTGTTTTCAACAGCTATGGAGTAACTCAAGAGAATATTTATTATTCCCTTTCTTCAGAGAAAAATCATCTACAAGGCAATTCACTCACAGATTCAAAGTCACCTAATAAGTGAACAGCAGGTAGAAGGAGACAACAGGCAGTTTTAATAGCCATCACTTAAGCACCAGATTAAACGTGCCCTTGTAGCAGGGTGGAAATCTTCACTCAAAGCGGAGCACAGGATTGGCCTCCACAAAACTTGTTTAAGGAATTTCAACATGTCAAAGTGAAGCCTGCATAATTTAATACAGAATTAAGGAAGTTTCATTTGCCAACCCAGTGTGACGCTTGGCAGGATCACGCATATCCCAGACTCAACACAGCCAAGTCAAAATGATCCTTTCTTCTCCGCCACCGTTACCCCCAAAACTGCCCCCCGGCAATCGTTTTAACCTCAGTGAATGGGACTGCAGTTTTTAGACCAAATCCAAAACACGAAAGTCGTTGTGAGACTTCATCATCTTTCTGACTTCCACTCATCAAGGTCTATTTTCTATATATTGTTTAATTGTCCCTTCAATCTGCTGTAGCAGATACGTAGCAGGTCTGCCCACGTGCGTACTGCTGACCTCTGAGTTCACCTCAACTGCAATGGGCACTTCCAGTGGCCTGATGACAGCCTTCATCTCAAGCATCTGTGTCTGCTGCTTGAGACTTGCTGAGGACTTGGGGTCTCACCGGTGTTGGGGTCACAGAAGCGTGTTCAGCCAGTGCACAGAGCATTCTAGAAGTACTGGGGATTGGAGCCCCACAGAGCCATCCCTCAGCCAGTTAGGGTCAGGTGTTGGTGGATAAATACTTCAGTTTTCCCATCCCTTGCAGGGACAATTTCTATCCCCTGATGGTCCCAAGTGAATTTGAGCTCCATTTGCCCACAGCAGCAACCCACTCAGTAACGCCCCCTTTATTGGCTTTCCCCCTCCCTCTCTCACTTTCCTCACTGTGTTTCCTGGGATCCCGTTCCCCTTGGTCTTTGTTTCAGTGCCTGTTTTTAGGGGGACTATCCAAATCAGGGTGGCTGCATAAGAACAAGAATAAGGATATTATTTTCTAGTGATTACTGCATTCCAGGCACTGTACCAAGCATTTACAATTAATTCTCACAACCTTATAAGATAAGTACTCATTGAAGCATCTTAGTATGGGAGAGCGGGACTTGGAGAGG